CTTTGTGCATCAGATTGCTCATTTAAATAACATTTGTGGAGTGGTCATGCTTTCAAATATAAGATGCCCTACTTGACCCAGACTAACCAATGGAATTCTAATCCAATTTACATATCAGAAACTCAAAATATAAAACATGGAGCACACTTAACCATAATATAAAGTAAATTTACATGTACTCTCTTCCTTTGTGATTAGGATTATTATAAGGACGATTTAGAGCAGCATTTTCCTGGTGTTGGATCGGCAAATTCTGAAAATGCTCCTTATTTTATTGTCATGTACAGAGTATTATATATAGGATTTTTTTTTCGCCCTTCTCTTGGAACTTCTTTCTGTGACAGGTCAGAATCATCGCATTATTCTCATCCAAAAATAAAAGAAAGGTCAGAAGGAGATTAAGTTTTTTTCTCTGCCAGAAAAGCTGTTTATCAGAAGGAAGAGAAGTGTCAGAACTCGAGGAGGACATGGCATTGTTCATACATCTTTGCCCCTTTCTGCCAATGCACAATTGTTACTAATAGAACATCCTCAAATGCTTCTCTTAAGTGACTCAAGAAGAGGCACTTACAATTAGATTGATATTTGTCACAATTATTTTATTGGCTCTTGATAATCAGACAGTGAAATACTGCTATTACTCTCCAACATTACAATGAATCAATTCACCAACACCATCATGAGGAGGAGTGAATTACTAAGGAGACTGAGTGCTTCTCAAGTAACTAGTTACTATGTAGCAATCAAGTTCTCAGGAATAGTACCACTCAATCAATGTTCTTTTTTTAGGGGGTGGAGACTGTATTAAGCTTCAAGATACTCTATTTCTTCAGTCAAGCATGAAGGATATTAACTTTCTGGAATACTTCTGTATTATTTCCAAAAGACATATTTTGGGGGTGGACACATGATGACTATAGTTAAGGTTATTGGGCTGTACAATTGAAGTTGGCAGAGTGTGTCTTAAAAGTTTTCATCACATGGAAAACAATGTATATAAGATAATGAATGATAATTAAACTATTCTTAATCATTTTTCACTGTACACATATCATGATGTTGTAAGTTTCAGATATATAGAATATTATGTTAATTAGACCTCAATAAAACTGTTTGAAGAAAAATTACAAATTAAACTTATTTATTGTTCAAGCTGGAGAGACGGTGTAGTGAGTCAGACACTTACCTTGCATTTAGCCAACAAGAGTTCAATTCCCAGCATCCTATTTGGTGCCCTGAACACCTCCAGGAATAATACCTGAATGCAGAGCCAGGAATAATCCCTGAGCACCACCAGGGTGACACAAGATTCAAAAATACATACATACATTAATACAAACATAATTCAATAAAATCAGTTTTTGTATTTCAAAGATACCTAGATTGGCACCTCAGTTTTACCATGTGCTGGTGGTACATCTTGATGCAAATTATATAATATCCATGTGTGTGTGTGTGTGTTCTTCTATTGGATATTTTTAAAGTTGTAGCACACAAATATTTTTTGAGAATTAAATAACACATGAGCCGGAGAGATAGTGCAGTTGTTAGGGCGGTTGCCTTGCATGCAGCTCACCTGGATGAAATCCCTGGCATTCCATATGGTACCCTGAACCCGTCACGAGTGATTCCAGTCTGCAGAGCCAGGAGTAATCCTTGAGTACTGCCAGGTGTGGCCGGTGAGGCCAAAATACAAGAATAAAAATAACAACAACAAAAAAGAGAATTAAATAACACAAAGTCTGTTAACACTTAGTGTAGTATTTGGTGTGGTGTAAACTCTTATGTGTGTTTAAACCTCTTAGTACTGTTTTTGTTAATTTCATTGTTGGAGTATTACATTTTGGTTCTGTAAGAGTACATTGATATTCTTATAGAAAGAATTTGAGATGCTGTTAAGAGTTATTATGGCATAAAATGGTCTACTTAAAAATTCAGGATATATAGTTTTACAAAGGATTTCACAAATTATCTTTATGAGCTATGTCGGGTCTCTAAAAATTGCTGATGCTAACTAAGCTCTATAGGACCAATTTGTAGCACTGTATCACTGTCATCCCATTGTTCATCAATTTGCTTGAGCGGGCACCAGTAATGTTTCCATTGTGAGATTGTTGTTACTCTTTTTGAAAGCATATCGAATCCAACATGGGGAGCTTGCCAGGCCCTGCTGTGTAGGCGGGATACTCTTGGTAGCTTGCTGGGCTCTTCGAAAGGGATGGAGGAATCGAACCCGGGTGGGTCGCATGCAAGGCAAATGACCTACTCACTGTGCTATCAGGGAGCAGATAGACAATTTGTATCAGGATTATATCCCCTCTAATCTGTATTAGACCACTCTCCACATGTCCGGACAAGCATCATGCATGAAAGAACTGGCAGAGGAACCCAGGCATGCAGGTCCCGGGGCTGCATTTTTCCTTTGGAGAACCTGGCAGGCTACCAAAAGTATCCTGCCCGCATGGCACAGTCTGGCAAACTTCCCGTGTCATACTCAATATGCCAAATACCAGTAACCTATTAAGGTTGCATCCTTAATAGGAAGAGGGAAATATTCAAAACTGAAATCTATATGTGGAGTAAATGCTTTGAGCCTGGAGTCTGAAGTCACAGAGTTCTGCTTTCCTGGCTCTCTGGGACTTTACCCCTGTGTGAGTCCCGGCTTAAGTGTCCGGAAAGCGTCCTGGTGGGCGTCCGTGGCTGGGTAGTGAAGGTAGTGGAGGTAATGGTTTGAAAAAAAAAAACCTAAAAAGGGTTTGTGAACATATAATGCCGGTAGAGTGTTTGTGTTTTAAATAAGACAGAGAAGTCCCCCCACCTTTTTTGTTTGTTTGGTTTTTGGCCTTTTTGCTTTTGGGGTTACACCCAGCGATGCTTAGGGTGTACTCCTGGCTCTGCACTCAGAAATAACTCCTGGAAGTTCTCTGAGGACCAGATGGAATGCCACCCATTTACAAGGCAAATACCCTCTCCCTCTTCACTGTACTATCACTTGACCAAGACAGGGGAATCTTCATGACTGAGCAATAGTGCAGTGGGTAGGGCATTTGCCTTGCACCTGGCCAAAAAGGCCGACCCGAGTTCAATTCCTCTACCCTTCTTGGAGAGCCCGGCAAGATACCTGAGAGTATCTCGCCACACAGCAAAGCCTGGCAAGCTACCCGTGATGTATTTGTTATGCCAAACACAGTAACAAGTCTCACAATGTTACTGGGCCTGCTTGAGCAAATCGACGAACAATGGGAGAACAGTGACAGTGACAGTGAGAACATTTAAGTAAAGACACGGTGGAATAAATTCAGCTAGATCAGCATAAGAGCATTTTAGGGGAATGAAGCACAGCAGGCACCAAGTCTGAAAGTAAAAAACATCTGGGGTTTTTGACCAACAGCTGGTAGTCTACAGTAGCACAAGCATGGTGAATATGCTCACAGGGTTGAGAGTTCGTGTAGGACCAAATCATCTAGGATTTTGCCAACACTTTTGTTGACTCTGACTGAAATGGAAACTGCTGAAAGTACGCAGAGAAAAGACAACATCTTATTTACCTTTTTAAAGGGTCGTTCTAATTGGTATTTTTAGAATGAACAGGAAGATGAGATAAAGTACTTCATTGCAATCAAACTTTATTTTTTTTTAGTGAATCCATTTGCACTGATGGAATTTGTTAAGATACTTATGTGAAATATGGGAGAAAAACTAGACTCAAAGTTTTTCCAAGATTTGTGGGTGAGGAAAAAATGGTAATACATAGCTTTCCTAATCTGAGATAAACTTACCATAGAGAAAATTGAGGTGGTTAGGTAATTCACTAGCATATGCTAGATTAAAATTTCTTCTGAGTAAAAAAGGTGGATTTGCCAACCAGTTTATTGTTGATAGATATTAAGAGAGAAATATGACAATCCCCGTGATATGTAAAACATTTTAACTAAGTTTCATCTTAAAGAGAATAGCTTTAATTGAAAATAGAGATCAAAGGTGTGTTATCACATTTTGCATTGTTATAGTTCTTTGAATTATATAATTATTATAATTATTCTTGGGTAAATGAAGAGAAAATGTCAACAGAGAGAAAATATGACTAATTTGGGGAGGAACATTGAAAAGAATGATTTTTCTGAGAAGCAGGTGAAAATGTATTTATAAGTGAAAATATCAATTGACATAGTGTAAAATTCTGACTATACCCTTACCAACTGTTTAATTTACTCAAAGCTAGAATGTCTAATAGTTGTTCTACTAAGCTTGAATATCCATTTTCTGCATTTGAAGATAACAATTAAATAGAAAAAAGTCTCATAGATAAAATATTCTCCTTAACTTCAAAGCTTAAAGGCATTGAATTAAGAAAGACCACTAGTTATAAATCTCACAATAATGACACAAAACAGTCTATGGGAATATTGATGAAGTGGAGATTAATTTTGTTAGTGGGCTTCAGTGGGAAAAAGGTCATATTTGAGCTGGGTATTAAACAATGACTATGAGTCTGTTGGTTGGGAAATGGAAATGGCATTTACAGCTAATGACATTTCAGGCAGATAAGATAGCATGAGAATCACAAACTGACATGAAAATGCAGGGCATATTCAAGAATGAGGAATAAAATTCTTTGATTAAAAGAGTTTGAGAAGAATTATGTAGGACAAACAGCAGTAGTCCCTCCATTTTTTCTTTTTGAAAATCTCGCTTAATTGTTGAGTGGTCAAAACAATGATACAATAAAATATTTATTCAAGGTCAAATATCAGGAATTTTTCCTTATATATTCTAGGAAAAGTTTCAAGCATGATGTACTATAAAATAAATATACACATATATGAATATGTATGATGCATACCTATGCATATCTATGTGTATATATATATAAAACACATCTATAAATTTCGCCCTGTATATTATTACATTGGGTAGATATTAATTTCAAATACATTTACTTGGGGTATTTTCTACTTCCTTAGATGTAATGTAGCATTTTAATTTTATCTCTTTTCTAGAAATGGTTCTCTGTGTTGCAAGTTTGCTTGATCACCCCATGAGAGTGGAGCCAAGTAAACTAGACTGTCCGATACACTGAATGTATGTGAGTACAACATTAATGTCCAATCCCTCTTCTCCCTCACCTCCCCCCTCCCCAAACTGGAAAGAACAATGCTTTCATTCATGACTAAAAGCATCTTGGGGTAGACTGTTTGCAAATGAATGTGGCTAATGGCAACTGTGGGGGCGGGGTGGGGGGGTTGTATCCACAGGACAAGCTTTCATTCTCTTCTATGCACACAGACAGCATTTTGCCTGAAGCTACTATGCCTCTCAATACTGCTCACCTTCTAGTTAAATTTCCAAAATCTGCTTTCTGTACAGCTGTTAGTATGTTAGTATGTTAGTCCTATACTCCCCCTAGGATCACCTTCCTTTTGTCTTCATCATTTTCGTTGTAGGTGCCTCCCTAATTCTAAATGCAGTCTATTACTACAGGGTTTTTTATTACCTACTAGTTCTCTATTAAATTTATTTTCTGTCATACTTATCAGGTCAATTATCAAGTTAAGAGATTTGTGCAGTTCAGTTACTGAATTAAGCATGTATCTTTTACCAGATCAAATTCCATGCAGGCAAGTCTCATGCTTGTTTGCTTATGTATCAGACGTTCAAGATCCTCATGCTGCCAGACCCTGTCTGAGTATAATTTGGCCAATTAAAATATTTAGCCCCTTCATGATTATTCAAGCTGTTCTTTTGCCACTCCAATCTTCACACAGATAAGAAATGTACTTCTGATTGCTATGAGAGATGAGACTCTCTTGTATGCACATCACTGAGTTTTTCTCTCATAGTAGATTGAATAACTCACATTAATCAGTAGTTGATTTCTAGTTTTTAACTTTTAATAAAACTCTACATTTTGTTTTAGTAATATTTATTTGTATATTTTATAATATTATTGAAATTACATTGATTTATAACAGATTAAAATGTTCATCAGTAAAAATGAACAAATGTATGCGTATGTAATATATACTGTTCACAACTAAAAGTCTGATTTCATTCTTTGTTAACTTTATTAAATCAGCAATTCCTCTGTGATTTGTACTTGTCTATTTTCCATATAATTTAATCCTGAAAGAATTAAATAACCTTTTACACAGACTAAACAAGTCTTTTTATTGCACTATTCTCTTAATCATCTTTTCTTGAAAACTTATATACGTTCAAATTGCTCTATGTGATTGTCAATATGATTTGCCCATCCATAATCAATTCTACAAGATCTGGGGCTAAATTTATTTGTTTGATAATGCATTTTCAGTACCTGTCAGAAAACCTCAAACAGGAAGAGCTCTATTATGAAAGGAATTTAGCTAGCTACATTCACTTCTTACTCAACCTGAGCGCTAAAGTTTTGTTTCCAGCTCTGTTTAAATTACTCTGACTAGGGGCTGGAGCTATAGCACAGTGGGTAGAGTGTTTGCCTTGCATGATTTCTAGCATCCCATATGGTCCCCTGAGCACCGCCAGGAGTAATTCCTGAGTGCAGAGTCAGGAGCAACCCCTTGTGCATCTCTGGGTGTGACCCAAAAAGAAAAAAAATAATTACTCTGACTAAGATAACCAATCAAAATGTGCTCTTTTTGTTACTCAATCCATAAGCACATTTTTTTTTCTTCTAGTAAGCTCTCAGTTTTGGGTTGTTGTTTTGATTCTGGAAGCCTTACCCAGAAGAAATAGAGCTGCTTCTATCATGGTGAGAAAGACCTGGTTCTATTCCAGCACAGAATGGACCCCTTAAATACTGCCAGGAATGACTCCGAAGCACTGAGCTTGAGTAACCCCTAGATTTACACTGCGTGACCCATAAATTTAAAAAATTATGTTTCTTAAGGACTTTTTAAAACTAAGAATTTATAAGAGAAGACAAAATTCCTAAGAAATTATTTTAAGAACAGGGAATAAACTTGGAATTATTTTACCTTTATCTTGCCATAATTTTTGCTATTCTAAAATAGTTTCTTAAGTTTTTTTTACTGAGTCTGTTTCTAAACATATGTGGATCACTGGTCCAATTGGTATATTTCCCCTAGGTTTAGTCTTGAAATACTCTTCCAGAACACTATTTTTAAAAGTTGTATGTACAAAAATTTGTGAATTAGGATTTTTACCTTTTCCTCCTCCATAACTCTGTTCAGTCTTTTAGGAAGACATTGCCATTCATACAAAGGCATAATTTGATGAATTGTGGGCCAAATAACTTATTCTTTAATTAACTTTTCTCTCTACATTAATTGTAACATTTTGCTCCAGTGGGCCCAGTAATGTCTCCATTAGAGACTTTGTTGTTACTGTGTCTGGCATATCGAACACATCACAGGGAGCTTGCCAGGCTCTGCCATGTGGGCGAGATACTCTCAGTAGCTTGCCGGGCTCTCCGAGAGGGGTAGAGGAATCGAACTCGGGTCGCCATGTTGGCTGTGTGCAAGGCAAACGCCCTACCGCTGTGCTATTGCTCTAGCCCAATTGTAACATTAGTTGTAACATTAAAAGGAAATGGTCCAGGCTAAAACATTTCTTTTTTAAAACATCTAGTGCATTTAGTTAGATTTTTCTCTCAGTAAAAAAGTCTAAAGCGTGACCCAAGTATGGACTTAAAATGTGAATTATTCTTGTCTGATGCTCCAATTAATCACTACAATAGTGACTGATATTATTAAACCAATCAATAATGATTGATAGTAAAATACTGATATTAAAGTAGTGTTTTGAATCTGAAAGCAGTAATTCACAAGCAATAGCATTAACTTAGGAAGATCTATAGAGTTCTTCTGATAATCATTTTGTATGGGCCATTTCTCACCTTCTAACTCAGTAACTTGTATGACTATATGGTCAAGGCTAAAACAGGTAGACACATATTTTAAATTAACAAAATTTAAACAAATTATAATTGCTTCAGTCCTCTGAGCTCTGTCAGGAGTGATTCCTGAATATGAAGTCAGGAGTAAACCTTGAGCAATGATGTGTATTTTTTTCAAACATAGAAACAAACAGATCTATAACTTCAGTTATAATAACATTCTTTGATATGCATCTGCTTCTATAGTGCTAATTGACAAATATCACTTATACTAAGATAATGCATCTTAATTTCAAATGTTTTCTATTCTAAAATTGTGTATAAACAGCTACCTCTTATAACTGCAGAACATAACTTAATTTCAAAATGTTTCCACTTATTTATGTGATGCATCACTATATCACTGTCATCCTATTGTTCATCAATTTATTCAAGTAGGTGCCAGTAACGTCTCCATTTGTCCCAGCCCTGAGATTTTAGCAGCTTCTCCTTAGTCGTCTTTCCTAGCACTGCCATATTGGAGTCTCTTTCAGGGTCAGAAGAATGAGACACATTATTGTTATTATTTTTGGCACATCGAATATGCCACGAGTAGCTTGCCAGGCTCTGCCTTGTGGGTGGGGTGACATATATATATATATATATATATATATATATATATATGTGTATATATATATGTGTGTGTGTGTGTGTGTGTGTGTGTGTATTTCCCTCTATGTTTTGTTGCCTACTTTCTGAACCCCATCAAATATGGTGTGGTAATTATGGAAAATGGGTAGGGAGTGTCTTATGAGGTATCAGTTCAGGAATATGTTCACTCATATGTGAGGCACAGCCTGAATATGTAGAAAACAGCCTGGAGTGTGGCGGCAGTTAGGTAGTGGAGGTCAGCTGCCAGGGTTTGGTCCTTTAGGACTGGGAGGGCTCTCACCCTCCCCTCTCTGGGGCGCTCCGAGTGAAAACAGCCTGGAGTAGAGTCCTGTGGCATGTTTATGGGGGGCCTCATTTTTTGCTCCCTTCCAGGAGGAGCAGCCGTGAGTTCTGGAGGGTGGCCAATGAAGAGATGATTTGGCGCCCGCAGGAGGTGGCTTACTGGTGTGAACCCTGGGTCGACAAAGACTGAGGGAAACAGGCAGAGAATCTCTGCTCCCGGGTCTCATTGAGCCCAGAGTTCAAGGTCACAAAGTTCTGCATTGATCGATAAAAATAAAAAAATAAAAATAATTTGATTTCAAAATATAGTAATTTATGAGATTGAATTAACAAATTGGAGATTGTAAATATGTGTCTTTGACAATAAATTAAAAAATAACAGTTATACGTCATCTTATCAGTTGCATATATCTGAATGCCATTTCTATTTTAAATCATAAAAATTTACAAACAAACATGGATATAGATATTGAAATGAAAGGTGGTCAATTTCATTTATTGTGTTATAGAATTTTTATAAGACAGTTTTACTGCATGGACCTTTAAGTGTCGAGTTTGTATTGAAGTCTTTAATTTTCAAATCAGGTTTCTAAAAAAAAAAAAATTAAAAAAATCAACAAACTTTCTATTGACTCTAAAAAAATGAAAATATAAAGTTTTATCAATCTGAGACAGCATCTTACTTTTAAAAATAATTATGTAGTACTGTAATGAACATATCTCTCTTCTCAGTAATTTAAGAGAAATCAAGTTCTATGTAGAACTCCAAAGTGCACTATAATTTGTCAAAAGAATGCCTTTGAGCACTTCCCAATTGTAGGCAAAAACATAATTTAGTTATAATCATAGAAATTACATTTTAATCAATATGCCCTTTGCTATTAATCCATTTTTGACTGCCTGAAGAGGCTTTAATAACATGTTTGGAAAATTATCCACCTCGCAACTAATTCTAAAGAGAAGAGGGCTGGAATCCTTTCATTTCCAATTCACCATGACAGAATTGACATACACACACACACACACACACACACACATACCCCACATATTCATATATATACATTAATATGTGTATACATATACACATGTATATAATTTTCTCGCTACTATTGGAATAACTCTTTCTTGGTATGTTAAAGAGTTTAAGTGAATTTAAAAAAGTATTATCTGGTGGGATGGTGAGGCAGAGAGATGGTATATGTGTTAAGGCCCTAACCTTTTATGTGCCCTGCTTATATATCACAGCATTACATACCCAGCATTACATATGGTCTCCTGAGGGCCTCAAGGAGTGATCC